ATATAACACATTGTGCTTTCCAAACACACTGAGGAACAGGGAGTTATTGGAAGTGGTCAGCACGGATTTATCAAGGGTAAATCACGCTTGACCAATTTGATGGCCTTCTACAATGATGTAACTGGTTGGCTGGATGAAGGGAGAGCTGTAGATGTCATCTACCTTGACTTCAGCAAGGCTTGGCTAGATGAGGAGACAGTGTGGTGGATTGAGAGCTGGCTGTGTGACAGGACTCAGAGGGTTGTGATCAGTGGCATGAAGTCTAGTTGGAGGCCTGTAACCAGTGGTGTCCCCCAGGGGTCGATACTTGGTCCAATTTTGTTTAATATATTCATTAATGACCTGGATGACGGGACAGAGTGTATCCTCAGCAAGTTTGCTGATGATACCAAACTGGGAGGGGTGGCTGACTCTCCAGAGGGCCGCGCTGCCATCCAGCGGGACCTGGACAGGCTGGAGAGCTGGGCAGATAGGAACCTAATGAGGTTCAACATAAGCAAGTGCAGGGTCCTGCATCTGGGGAGGAAGAATGCTAGGCACCAGTATAGGTTAGGGGTGGACCTGCTGGGAAGTAGCTCTGAGGAGAAGGATTTGGGGGTCCTGGTAGATAGTAAATTGTCCATGAGCCAGCAGTGTGCCCTTGTCACCAAAAAGGCCAATGGAATCCTGGGCTGCATAGGGAAGAGTGTGTCCAGTAGGTCGAGGGAGGTCATTCTCCCCCTCTACTCGGAACTGGTGAGGCCACAACTGGAATAGTGTGTCCAGTTTTAGGCTCCCCAGTTCAAGAGGGACAGGGAACTGCTGGAGAGAGTCCAGCGAAGGGCAACCAAGATGATTGAGGGATTGGAGCATCTCCCTTATGAAGAAAGGCTGAGAGAGCTGGGACTCTTTAGCCTGGAGAAAAGAAGGCTGAGGGGAGACCTTATTACTACTTACAAATATCTAAAGGGTGGGTTGAAGGAGGATGGAGCCACACTCTTCTCGGTGGTTCCCAGTGACAGGACAAGGGACAATGGGCACAAGTTGGAACATAGAAAGTTCCATTCCAACACACGGAGAAACTTCTTTACAGTTCGGGTGACAGAGCACTGGCACAGGCTGCCCAGGGAGGTTGTGGAGTCCCCTTCTCTGGAGATTTTCAAAACCCGCCTGGATGCAGTCCTGAGTAATGTGCTCTGGGCAATCCTGCTTTAGCAGGGGAGTTGGACTAGATGACCTCTAGAGGTCCCTTCCAACTCTGAAAATTCCGTGATTCTGTGATATAGAGGCAGAGGCAGCACCTTTTGTGGAGACAAGTCTCAGATGTGAGACAATACTTTAAAAGAGCAAACAAGTACAGCAAGGATGGCAACTGAGACTGGGAAACGCACTTGGATTTCCAAAATACCTGGCACAGCTCTCTAAAAGGCTCAGGGGTAGAGCCTACATTGTTCAGCTTTTATGAAATGGGTATCTTCTAACAAGTGAACAATTTTAATTTTTTTTCCAACAAAAAAAATAATGAATTCTATCTTCAAAGAGTCACAGAGGACATCATAGTATATTGTTGTAAAAAAAAAATTTATGTGCCACCTGGAAAAAAGTATATATAAAGGAAAACTGAACTCAAAACCAGTTCTCATAGGTTTAGGGAAGATGCCAAATGTTAGGGAATACGCCAGAAAAGGCAAACAGAACACTCAGCATCATTAGGAAACTGGGAGAGACTTGTACATCAGTAACAAATGACCCTACATCGTATAACAGAGAGGGGAGCACTCGAAGTTACTAGACAACCTGATTTTTAAGAGAAAAAACCCCACAATTTTTACACTGCACACAAATCAACGATGGTGGATAAATTTTTGGCGACAGAAGGCACAAGCGGAATTCAAAGCAGGCAGCCACAGGTTCAGCCAGAGCTTCCGCTCTCTGTGGTCCCACGTGCCCCCCACCTTACGATGCCCCCCACCTGCAGCCTGTTGGGCGAGCGTAGCAGGTACAGCACTTTTCTTACCGTACACGGCCTGCATGGCTTGTACTGGCCACCACCAGTGACACGCAAGTCATCGCCACGACCCTGTAATACCACCCTTCTTAGGGCATTTCACTTGAACAATACACTTGAACTCAAATTTCACATCTTTTAATTTTCGTTCTTGAGTTTTCAAACAGATACAATGAGCTCTGTAGATCCAGTCAGAAGACACGAACAGGATGTTAAAGAAAAACTCAGAGGCCAATATATTAAGCATACTTATTTACTTAATCTATACAGAATCGAGTAGATAAAATTTCAGATTCACATTAGTGAAAAATCTCTACAAAATGTTTTTGAAAAGCAAAACAAAAACTGCCTGTTCATTTATAATTTCTCGTCATGAAAGCAGACATGGGTTGTAAAAATAAAGCAGTGTGTTTAGCACAAACTAGATTTCTGCATCACTTTTTTCACAGTTATTTCCATCTACAGTCCAAAGAGGTAGATTTTCTTCAACACCTGAGAATTGAACTGTAACGTAACCAGGTGTAATGAAAGGAAGGACAAAACATTAGAGATACAGCCCTAACTTACTTGTGTACGTGTACACATATTTGGGTCTTGCATCACATACAATTTAGCTTTTTGCAGCTTAATCATGGTGAAACTGTCAATCAGGCCCCAGAGTTTTGAGAATTAGACATACTTATTTCAGGCTACATCAGTTTACAGCCCAGGTTAAACAGTTTATGGTAGTGGGAGAAAGGTATTAATACAAGTTTACTTAAAAACCCTACTGGAGCCAATTTGGCTGCAGACTGGCAGTGCAGGAGCCTGCTGTATGGCAGATCAGTTAGAATAAGGAGCTTATCCCTTATATAAATTTGTATTTTTTTTAAAGAACGCTCTTTAAGCAATGCATGGAACTGTATTGACTGGTTTCAGGAAGCAAAGTACAGCTCACCTTGGCCAGATAAATTGATATGATATGGGTATGTTAAGGGTAGGAAAGAGAAAAAGATATCCCCGTTTTAAAAGCCTTTCACTTGGGCCATTCTGCTCCATTTACATATTATGTCAGTAGCAAATATATTTATATTGCTGTTCTACACATCTGTCACGTCTCTAAAAGCCCTTTAAAATATTCCTGCAGCAGGGTCCAAAAAGTCGCTCTTGCCTCCATATAGAACAAGCACTATAGAAAGAATTGTTAAAGATACAAATGTCCAAATAATAAATTGTAAAAATAGAAAACGGCACGTCCTACCTTGCCAAGGGTATGATGCATCAGGTACATCATTTTTCACTTTTCCTCAGGAAAATTACTTCGTGCTTAGTCTTAGCCGAAAACCAGTTCTTGCAACAACTCTTTTTAAACAGCTTGATTCTACAAAGCAAGTCCTTTGAAAAGCAAGTCTGAAATACTTCTTTCCAGTATTTTTTTTATGCCATATGGTTAGCATGTTTAACATTTCAAAGCTCTGAGTCTAACCTGACTGACTACTCATTGCTACCTTCTTTTCATTCCTGTATTGTGCTTGGGCCACGAACACAAGACCCGTGCAAATCTAGGAGAAAGATGGCCAGCTTCCCCTGTGCTCCACCATTCCAGAAATGTCAGTTTTGCACAGTTCCTCTCAGTGGTATGAGCTAAAACACATTTATCAGGCCTTACTTAACCTTACTCTCTTTCAGAGACAGCTACATTATTTCAATGTACATCACTACAGGAAAAGGATCAGGAGCTCAGTGCAGCCTGAACATTCAAGTAATTTAGCCACTAAACTGTCAAGGGCAATGAGGGTGGGAAGCTCATTGAGAGATGTGCTCGATTCAGAAATCCCCTCCCAAGTAAGTGCAAAGAACTTTAAGTACCAGAAAAGGCTACACATGTTTGTATTTCTTAAAATGAGAGCAATCAAAACTAGAAAGTAAGTACATGGGAACTGAAGTTAAGGGTAACTTGTAGTTACTTCACACATTGTCTTGCCAAAAAATAAATGTTGGTCCTAGTTTCTCTCAGGAAAAGAAGTCAAAATGCTGATATCAATTTTTCTAGGAAGAGACTATGTGGTTTACGGTTAAGAAGGGAGCTTTGCTTGTGGTATGTCACTGTAAGAATCTGAAGTACCATCTTTACCAGATAACCTAACTGGGAAGGCACTCTGCCAACTGGTACAGCTTCAAGGCTGAATGTGCAAGAAATTCCACGTTGTACTTCAGAAGTATTTCAATCTACATGTTCAATTATAACCACTATATGCTTAACTAACGCTTAAATACAATGCATACAAGGCTATTAGAGAAAGCCCGTATGCCACACACTCGCGTCTTCCACACCTACAGCAGTAAATGTCTATTTTCCAGCCCTTCAGATAATCCAGAGATTTGTCTAGACAGTAATGGATTTCTCCAGTCAGTATAACCATGTGATGGACACACTGCAGCTGAGAGGGAAGAACGTGACCAACACCTGTGCAATCTGCAACACAACTGCAAAATTCCACTCGGTAACGTTGCTGCACATTTTCTCACACATTTATATTTAACATGTTCACAGGTAGGGCAAATAGTCCAAACTAACCTTTACAACACAACCCTGAGAAGTCTGCAAAAAGCTGTACACCCTGTTTCACCAGCTGCAAATTAATGGATTTCAAAGCTGTTTTTTTCATACCACAAAGTACATAAAACCCTTTAAACATATCTTTTACTATATTCTGGACCTTTACTTTTGCATTCATGTATACGAAAACAGACTAGAGGGGAAAGCTGACTTTTACTGGCCATTAGACATCCTTATGTAGATAAATTTACTGGAAAAATTGGTAATTTTTAGTATACTGAGTGTCAAATCAATGAATGAAACCAGAATGCTGTTCTTTAAACCAATGAAGTGACACGCTGTCACTATTTTCCCCAGAACGATGTTGTATCTGTACACGGTCTTCCATGACAGTGATTTGTGTTGTGGGGAGGAAACGCACATGCATCCTTTTATGGAAAAATATTTTCTTTTAAAAAATGAGGCAGATGTGCAACACAGTTGTGGAAAATTTATAGTTTAAGCTATTTAAAGCTGCTATGCAGCTTCCTGTACCACATAAGTCCAGTAGTTCTAAGAAAATACAGATATGGTAGAAAAAGTAAGAAAATTTTCACCACAAAACCAAATAGTTACCACCAACAGAGAAAGTTATACACAAAATATATCTCTCAATACAGTGTTTACACTTCATTTTAGTCTACAGATTCACTGCCAGGAACAGGACTTGTTGAGACAGTCTTTTCAGAATTATTTGCCGCACATGATTCCACATCAGGTTGGATTCCTGGTTCCGTGTCAGTGGGAGTTCCCAGCTCCTCGTGGAAATTGAGTGTGCAGGACTGCAACACCTGCACAGCTAGATCCACATCTGCTTCTCTGAGAGAAACCTGCTCCTTAAGGACTTCCACCTTCTCATTCAGCTCATTCCTTTCTGTCTGAAGAGCCCTGCATAGCTTCTCCAAACGCTCCAGTTTTATTTGAAAGCCCTTGTATTCTTTATCTCTTACTGTTTTCTGAAGGACAAAAGAAAATAAAAGCTCTGTGATCCAACTCATTTTTCTTCCTTAAAGAATCACCACTACTTTAATCCTGAATATTACGTCTTAATTAATCTAGCAGGTCAAATTCCAGCTGCACTAGAGTAAATTTGCTCAGCATACTTGACCACTACACTTCAGATGGTCTAAGCTGGAGTGGCAACAGGCACCTTTAGAAACAAGCCATGAGAACTATATAACTACATAAGGCTAATTGTAAGTGAGGGCTGAGCATCAGAGAGGTTTCTGATATGAAGACCCATAAAGCAGTCAATTACAACCCAAAAAATGGCAACTAAAGGGAGCAGAAGGGCATACCAGTGGGAAATCTACAATCCAGCAGCAGAATCCGGGTCAGAAGGTATCATACTCATGGCTCTTCTAACTAGCTCCTTACAAGGACAGAGAAAGGTAAGCAGTACTATCACAGAACCTGTATGACCTAGCATGGTTTTGCAAGATCATACCTAATAGACTTGAACGAGACATTAGATAGTATAGGCAGAACTGTATGCCTATGGCCCGTGTGAAAATTGTTTTAGCTCCTCTCTACAATTAAGTAATGGCACCTCGTGGCCTCAAAAGCAGCAGCATTGCAGAAAAGTAATTGATCTCTTACACATGGGTTGTTTCCTTCATATCAGTCCTGTATATTTAAAATAGATTTCTATTGCAGCACTGATTGAACTTTGCTCAGCATATTAAAATACATTCAGTTCATTCAGCTTGTGCAATTTCATACACATTATCCCACCAATTAAACAGTAAGCAAGGAAAGATGAGGTTGATTTTTTTGTGCATCATGAGTTTAGGTTTATATAGCAGCTTTTTAGTTTCCATGTCCGAGAACAGTACCACTTACACAACAGAAAACATAAGGCAGGCAATCCAAGAGGCTACTGCGTATTATTTCCAATTCTCTAAAACTGAATGACGTTCTCTAGGACACAGACTCTAATTTAGCCATACTGCTGTTTAAAAGATAATTACCTCTTCAGCCATTTGCAGAAGAGCCTTGTTGTTGTTTTCCCATTTTGTACGCCACACTATGGTTTCCTTTTCCAGCTTCTTAATCTTCTTCGTCATCTACAAAACATAAATAGAAGACTTAATTTTCTGGCCTGCGTTGCAACACGTGGAAAGTAGTGTTACTTTCCAAGTCCGGTTTGAACACGTTATTTTACAGAAAAGTCTTTCTGGACAAAATCAACCCCACAAACGCAGATTCCACATTCAAAGAAAACAAGATTGATTGTTAAAAGAAACAGACTAGAAACCTTCAAGTACAACTAATAAAAAGCTCCATGAAAATAAGTTTTAAAACATAAGCACAGCCAAAAAGACCAATAAGTATTGTATACCTCTGATAAAACACAGAAATTAGGATTTAGCCATTATGCAAGTATGTCAAAAAACAAAAAAAATTACATTTCTCTTCCATATGACAAATGCTTATGCCCGATCTTATGATCCAAATTAAATGTCAAAATACTCCGTGTATTTTCAGAAGGCAAACACTGTTGTAAAATCTAAAATGCACTCCACTGAGATCACACATTTTTATATTACTTTTCATGAAACTAAGTAACCCTTTAAGTACCTTCTCCATTTCTTGCCTGAAGGTTGTAAAAAGTTCATTACTTTTTGCCATGGTGGTCTGGAATTCTTCAAACTTATCCATGTAAAGAGAAAGCTGTTGGGAAAGAGGCAGGAACATTTATCTGAACAGCCGTATATAAATACAAAAAATAAAGGTACAAGGGAAAATTAAAATAGCAGAAGATGAACTTCTTTTTATCTTTTTTATACTATCCTATGGTTTCCATCTGAGGAGCATGCATGTCTGAAAATATGCTACTGAAATTATATACGAAAGGAGAGTTCTATGTTTATAGAACAGCAATATATTCTAAAGAAAAACATGTTTAATAAAATTTTGGAAGACACCACAGTTCATCATGATCTCATTTTTGCCTCACCACTAAAAAAAATAAAAACAACCAAATATCTGTGATATTTAATATACAGAAATTCAGTACATGGTTAGTGAAATTAAACTTAGAAAAGACAAGACCTACCTTTCTACCTTAACCAGCCAAAGTTAAAAAACAATTGGGGCTGGGACAAAAAAAACCCCCATGATTGATTCCAGGAATCAAAATAGATATTCACAACCTGTGAAATCTGCTTAGTGATCAAAAATCATAGAAGGAGAATATTGACAAGGAATACATTTAATAATGAAAAGGATTACTTTTTAAACAAGTGAAGGGCATTAACATTTGATGACAGAAAATTTTCTTGCCCTGCACCACAAAGCTAATCATCAAGAAGGAACTGCAAAACATCTTAATTAACATAGTTTTTCCACAAAAAACATATTAGGTTATGCTTCTTATCAAAACAATTTATACTACCAATGTTGTGATTTGCTGTTGATGTTTGAGAATACATGACCATTTACTAGGAACTTCTTACTCTACCTGAAGAGTAATCAGTTCTCTCAATTCTTATATTGCGGGTTGCAGGACAATTCAATTCAGAGCACAGAAATATTGTATTTTCCTCTAATAATAGAGGAAGTTTCATAACAGGAATTAGCCTACCTTGTCAACAGTGGATCATGACTCTCTGCCATTATTGTGAGTGAACTTTCTAGCTCAACTTATTCTACAAAAAAATCTGTTGGCCCCAGGAAACCACAAACCATACCCATTGTTACTATTAAAAAGCATAACAAAAAGGCAGTGGGATTTTAAATAAAGGGTAACCAACTTGAAAAAAAAAATCATAAAAGTCTAAGTGTGGCAAAAAACTACTTGGGAGAATCTGGACATTAATGATTCCAAGTCACTGAACATTGGGGGGTGTGTGTGTGTGTGTGTAGGATTACATTTAACTACACATATACAATTAAAGAGTGTGTGTGTAACTGTTGGAATACCTGGAAAAGGATTAGGTACCCTAAGCATGGAAAGAGAGACATGAAACAGAGCTTGCAAAGAGACTTAACACAAAACCTCACAAAACTGAAGCAGTAAGAGGTATACAATAAAAGGAATAGCTACTGCTTCTCAGATGCTATGTTAGCTTAACCTATAATTTCCCTTACGTGCTGAGCTCACGTGCAGCCAATGACTGCAGGTGACGCAGAACCACAGCACAAAAACTGGAGACCATCTCTCCACTCAGAGGATTTTGGTGTAGTATTTACAGCAAGAAACCAATTTGAAGATAGTAATTGTTTGTGGACATAGTCACTCAGTTTTAGGTTACTAAGTCTCTGTCATGGTTTAACCCCAGCCAACAACTAGGACCACGCAGCTGCTTGCTCACTCCTCCAGCCCCAGTAGGGTAGGGAGAAGAGGGAGAAAAGGAGGGGAAAGGGAACCCCCCGCCCCCTCCTGCTTTGAGATAAAGACAGTTTAATAGAACAGTAACAGAAGAGGAAAATAACAATAATATTATTAATGGTAAAACAATATAAAAAAAAATGATGCAATACAATTGTTCACCACCCGATGATCGGTTGCCCAGCCCATCCTGAGCTGTGATCCCAGATTCCTGCCCCCTGGCCAACCTCCATCTATACACTGAGCATGATGTCTATGGTATGGAATATTCCTTTGGCCAGCTTATCCTGTCTATGCTCCCTCTCAGCTACATTAGTCCTTGACTAATGTAAACATCACTTCGCAACAACTAAAACCAGTATGCGTTATCAAATTATTCTCATACTAAATCCAAACACAGCAGCTACTAGGAAAAAAAATATTAACTCTATCCCAGCTGAAACAAGGACAGCCTCAGTAACAACGATAAACATGACACTGCTTGCTCCCAGTCCCCCGCAACAGGATGGGATGGAAACAGTAAGGACCAAATTCTAAAACCTGCATGGGTAAAAATCCCCACCCAACTCCTTATAGTCTCAAAGGCCTCTCTGGTCCTGAACAGCTATAAAAAGATAAAAATACCTTTGAAAGAGAGAACCACAGTTTCAGAGAAGCCAAGGAATGGTAAAGAAGTAGCCACAGTGAACAGATTCTTAAGCTTTCACATATTCTATTATTTGTAATATTAACACCATTAATTTAAAAGGATACTAACTCCAGCAATTCAATGTTTAGCACCTTCCAGCAACAGTACTCTCCAGATATATTAAACAGCAAGTACAAAATGTCAAGTCTTTACAATTTACACTGCACTATTGAAGAGTTACTAACTGGAAATTAAATTTAAGACTTCATTAAAAATACCAAGTGCTTTTCACAAGTAGTATATTGCATCTGATCAATCATAACATGTAGTTCACTACTATCACAAATCTCTCGGTACTTTCTTTTCAGAACAACTGTTACTGAAGAGCACTCCATTAAAAAAAAAAAATATATATACCTGCTGCTTCAGCTGAGCTTCCTGTTGCTTCATCTGTTCACATTTGTGTCTGGACTCAGTAGCTTCTTTTAGCAGCTAAAAAAAATATGCAGAAAGCCACATAATTAAGAAAGTACTTCTAAGAATGGCTTAAAGAACTTGATCTATGATGAAAAACGAACAGAGGTTAACATCACCTAAGGGCCATTCAACCATGTTTGCTCACATAGGTTTTTCATTACTAGACTATACTTTCATAAACACTATTTAAAGCATGTGCTGGCATGCAGAAATTATTTCTATTGAGACATTTTTCTAATTGGCAGCATGAGTCAATGTTTCTATTTCTGTAGCAAGTTTGAACCACTATACCTATATGGGTAGTTCATTAAAGAACTGTATGTAATTTATACCTGTTTTGTAACCTCTCTAATTTATTTTCCAGTCACTAGTACCACCTTTACAAACTAGTTCAATTTTGCTTCAAGTTGACACCATTTTACAGATTCATCTTTGAAGAGATTTTTGTCAGCTTATGATTCCAAAACTATGTTTTCATAATACAGAACAAGCCAACACTGGATGATCATTTTAAGATTCTAGGCAAAAGCCTTGCTTTTCCTGTATAACTTACATATACATAAAGAGCATAAAAGAAATCTTGACTTAAGTATTATTTTTAAATTAGAAGCTAACTTCTTGGAAGCCTGCAAGTAAATGGTTGATTATCAACATACAAATAAAACATCAGGCATAGTTTTGGGGGCAGAAAGTTAGAAGAGCATATACCTTATTCTGCTTTTGTTATTTCTTATAGCATAAAACCAGAAGTTACAACTACAAGACAGCAAGAAAGTACCTTTGGTATTTCAGGTCAAGGTATTTCCTAGTCTAAGAAAAATCTAAATGGTATCTAGCACATTTGCTGAGAAAATGCAAACAGTAACAATGCTTGCCTGTGAATATGGATATTAACACTGTAGGCATCATATACACATATACAAAACAAATCTCAGTCTTGATGTTGAAATCTAGCCTAACTTTCAAAAGACAGTCCTCTCATTTTGCCTTATATCATGAAAAATCCATTTTGGTGGATTTTATTTCTCTTAACACACACAGAATTCACTTACAAACTCCCTTTCTCGCTGATGTTTTTCCTCTGCTTCTTTAATAAGATGGGTAGTTTGCTGAAGTTTGGCATCCACAAGTTGCTGCTGCAGTTCTTTATGTTTGAACACTTTATCAATATGCTAGAGGAAGAAAGAAAATCCTATTAGTCAAATATAAACAGTGCACTAGTCAATTAAGGTAAGCGTAGGTGTATGGGGGAATGTATATTGTTTAGAAGTTTCATGCCAAAGAAAAAACAGCAGAAGACTTTTACATGCTTTTTTCTCCTCCCGTTATTGCCATACATTATAGCTACACAGTTGTTTTCTTTCACAGAAGCCAGATGCACATTTTAAATCAGTACAATACTGTCAGTCACTTCACACCAGGCATTTCAAAAATCCTGTAACAAGTAATGTACATCCTTTCTTCTGAAGTTGGTGTATCTACCTCTAATCCTAATTGTACTTTGTTACATCTAAAAGCTCTACTCCTCATCATTAAAAAAAGCTCAAAACGAGCAAGATTTGCAATGACAGTTTATTTGACTGATGGAATTCCACAAACCATTGAGTTTTGCAGTCTTCCATCCGTAAAGTAGCACAAGGCAGCTTCCTACCTTTTTCTTCCCCAAAATACAAATATTCCATGACTGCAAAAACTGAAGAACTGGAGTCTACAGAGAGCTTTCTAACTGATCCAGATTTAAAAAAAAAGAACAAACCAGTTGAGAAATAATATTCCAAACCTATGCCAACTAACTGAGCTGTAGAACTCCTTGAAGCTCAGTTCTCTGACAAGGAGAATTGGCTGTTTTCCATTACTGTAGTTTAAACTGGCTAGCTCACATACTGGTGCCAATTAAAGCCAGCTCAGTTAGCCCTAAAATACAGTCATTTCCATGACACCAGTCCAAATATATTCTTAAAGCGCGATAGCTTATTTTGATTCTACGCCAACAAGAAGAGCTACATACACAAAGGAGCTTGCCAAAACCCCCCAACCTTAATGAACCAAAACAAGTAAGATAGAGAATAACTCATATACCCCCTCCCATTATACTGTGAAATTATAATTCAGAAGAACTTCAAATATTAATACATATTTATATCAGAAATAACCTTTGGACACCATTTAGTCCTCTCAAACTAGGTTCAACTTCAAAGTCTGATCAGGTTGCTCACACTGTGCCCAGTTGAGTTCTGAATACCTCTCAAGACAGATTCCACAATCTCTGGACAACTTATTTCTATTTGACTGCTTTCACTGTGAAGATTTTTTTTTCAATACATCTTGAATCTACATATGCAAAACCAGACAGGAAAGGCAGCTAGTGTGCCAAACAGCTACTTAATTTTTCACCGTAGTGAGGTAAAAAGAATAACTTAAAATATATATACACACAATGGGTCTAAAGTATTATGGTTTTTTCTTCCCCTTTAAATAATTATCTGATCCTTACAGTCAAAGAACTAACAGAATCCCATTAAAAGCATAACGTAAGCACCTCTTCTCGCAATGCATACTGCTCAATGAGTTTCTTCAGTTTTTCCCCCAGTTCAATATTTTCCTGACGGAGCTTGGCATTATGCATATCATGCTGTTCCAGTTGAGCCTGAATCTCATTCAGCGTAATCTGGAAGTGTGCAGTTCCTTCTTTCCGTTTTTCTTCATATTCACGCGCTTGCCGCATGTTGTCTTCCTTTTATGAGAAAATATTAATGTGTTCAAGCAAAACCATGCACTTTTTTCGTATTTTTTGAGTCAGAAACAATGGTAATAATTTACTTACGTACAGTTTCAAGTTCTATAGCGCTAGAGTTAATATAAGCGACAATCATGATATGCTATGCTGACTACCCATACAAAGTGCATGGAACGAAGAATCTAGAAATTCCAAAACTTTTAGAGCATCGTCCTTACCACCACCAACAATACATAGGCGCTGGTATTATAAGATGCTACATGAATACCTTTGCAAGCATAAGAATTACCCAGATGTTAGAAACAGCACTGATGAAATTAATGACATTTCCTACAGTGATCGCAGATAAGAACCTCTTGGCTTTCTTCCATTTCATTCCCATTCATTACATTCTGACAGAATTAAGCCTTTTTTGATACCCTGCCATTTCACACTGCTGTTATTTCACTTGTGCTATTTTTTCCAACTGTCATCAGCACTGCTCCCAGAAACAAACATGGCAAGATCACATACTGCAAGTAATATGATCTATGAACCAGTTTCAGAGGGAAAAAAATTAGCCAGTTGAACTATCCAGTTGAACTATCCCCATATTCTTTACCTTAAAATCAGGTACACTTATGTCACATGCCACATGTACCTGCAGAAGGCAGGTACAGGTAATGGACAAAGTGGAAAGTAAAAAGCAACAGTCCTGATTTTAAGCAATAATCAGTAAGATTTCCACCACTACTGGCACTGTAATTTATGTAAAATAAACTAACCTTCAAAGTCTTGTTATGACGCTGAAGCTCCCGACACAGAGATTCCAGTTTGCTACGTGCCAAAATGGCCTTGCCATGCTCACTCTGCAAGTGGACTTTCTCCTTCACAACTTGTGCTTGCTTCTTCTGCAGTATCTTCATCTGCTTTTGAACATTCCGGCTCTCCTCCAACTAACGTTAGAGAGTATATTTATTAACCAAACATAGGTGAAACTATCTTTATGCATCTAGATGAGCAGACTGAACAAACTTTTAAACATTTCAGATGAAAGCAAGGAACTCAATAATTTCATTACGATCCCCACGTTGATCTTAAAGAGAAATTCCCATCATCTTACAGACAATTCAAAATGTGTAAGGACACAAGATGAAAATATACAAATTGCAACTTAACAAACATTTGCCTTTGAGGAACAGGGACCACGGACCTGTCGACCATGGGCTATCAGGTTGTATTCAGCTACAGCTATAGGACTAGCCTTAAGAAAGGAGGATGTGACAAGCTGACTAACACTGGCTTCTCAACAAGTCACAACTTCTTCCACTCATCTGTAAGGTACACACAGCTGTTTATCCAACATGCCTTATTTTTACTACCAAAAAAGAAAACCCCACATGACTGTGTACAGAGTTCTGTCTTGTCAGCAGGAGCTCCTACCAAAGGAAGCAGTAATTTATACAAGTTTTTAAAATGCTAAGGTATTTCAGAAAGGAACAGATACAACTAGCAGCCCTGACAAATCAAGTCAAATACTATTAAAGCTGCACAGCCCAGACTTTGATGACTTAAGAGATCTGTAGTCTCAACCATTTGAAGCAAAACTTTTATTTTATTTCCTTTAGGCTGTTTAGATCATAGATGACAGCATTAAACTTTGTATACAGTGCTGACTTCAAAACCTATTCTATGAAGTGCATAGAAGTTTCTTGAGTTAATATCTAGTTGAGAGTAAGTTCCATTGTACACGATTTTTTGGGCTCCCCGAGAAACCATCTTATATAGAGTCCGTTCTATTGCAAAGAAGGTAACAATGTTATGTGCAACATTGCTCCTTATTAGATAGTGCCTCAGCCTCAGGACACCACAGGAAAAGAAGGCTGGCAACAAGGAACATCATCATGACAGAGAAGAAAACAATGCTGGTTTTCTGAAAGAGCTCAAAATAATGCTGAAGCACAGAAGAAAGAATAAATAAAGTTAAGGACTTCCATGACAACAGTAAATTAAATGTACATTTAATCTAGTTCAGAGAAAAGGAATGTTAAGGAAGTATTTGATATCCAGACATAAAAAGCCCTTTTCTTGGGTGGCCATAAAAACACTTCAAGTGGCTGTGCTGTTTGCATACCTATGAAACTTCAGGCCCGTAAAACTACACCAGTGTGAGACATCACCAAGGATGCAAACTATTCTGCATCACAAATTGATCTCCTGATAGATTCCAAATTAGGAAAAAAATTGTGGAAGATCTTTTGCCAGGAGAGAGGCATTCCTACCTTTATTGTACAGTCCTTTTCATGAGACACCACTGAAAAACCTGACAGTGAGCTTTAAAGATGATGAATCTTTAAAAAAAGAAAAAAAGCATTGTAGGTGCACTGTCATAAACAGTTCAAACCTCTGCTGGCATTAAAGCTGACACCTATGCCAGTGGTTCACCACCACCATCATGAAAAAAAGAATGTATCTTAAAAGGAACACAACCAGATCCAACCTAAACTTTCTAAGGGGAGCAGAGTACCTTTTAAGACTCACTCAGCTAAAACAGAGCCACTGTTACACCCGGGTAAGCTCCCACCCAACTCCCCAGCAGTTCTGAACATCACAGGGAAAGCAACGGGTTTTCTAGAATGGTGAATATCCGTGGACTGTGAACGCTTACTCTACCTGTAGACTACAGATCCTCTCCTGGCAGGGGAAAAAACATAATGTCAACACATCTCTCCTGATTGCCAAGCCTCTTGAAGGAAATTGCAATTCATTTGGTCTAGTTGTTACCTAATTGTTTTGAGATCTGTCCTTCAACAAGAAAAGTCAAGTGAAGATGGTGCAGACTGTTTTCTTTCTGCAGAAGCAAGGAATTCATGCCAACCTAGCTCCTCATGCAGGCCATAATGATCACCACTGATCTGACATAGGAGCTGTTCACTCAAATAGACTTTTCTAATAGACATGCACAAGCAATTGCTTATAAGAGCTAACTCATTTACTGTACTTCTCTTACATTATCAAAGCTTATTTTTAGGTGGGCTCCCCATTCCCGAGTTGCACTTTGGAAGTATTGTTGCTCATTTAAATGAAAGTGACTTCTTAGAGAAGCTGCTGGTTTTGAAGGAAATTGACTCGAGAACAAGATCATGCAGGAGAAAGCACAAGGGAAAAAAAAAAACAAAAACATAACAGACCTCCAAGGAGGACTCAGGATTTCTGAAACAGAACTAATCTAAATCTATTCTTAGTAATTAGTATTGCCTCTTGTGAGTAAAAAGACTACCTGCCAGCTCATCCTCAAAGCTCGAGACATTAATATCAAAGGAAAAATAAATTTATTTCATAAGAGTTATGCCATACTGTGTAGCTGTTATGTCATTTTCATAAACATTTTCATATATATAATACACTTGACATCTACAGAATGCAAACATGCTTTTCCCCAAGACATTGTTATCTCTTCAGTTTTGCATTCATTTTATATCTACAAATAGGTGGGAAAACACATACAGAGTATTTCTAGTCTTTCCATTCTTGTCTGTCCCTGTCTCAAGATGAGCAAATTAAGCATTTTTGTCTCTAGGCACATTCTGAAAAGTCAGTGTATGAGCCTTCCCCCCCCCCAATTTTGCCATCAATTAATTTATAGAATAAAATATCATTTCTCTTTCTTGGGGTCAGAATACACTTTAAAATTAATGCTAACATTTTGCCTTTTTTACTGAAGAAATGTATATTTTTCTATCCATTCCTTTGCATGATCAGAAAGCACATAGCAAAATTAAAACTAGATCTTTCCAAATTCCCCTACCCCCCCAAAAAATCTCTAAAGAGTTAAGTATAACTGACCCTCTTTTTTTTCCAATCTCATTATCACAGTATGTTCTTTCCCTTTACCCTAAAGGGTATAAATTATAAAATGCTAGCACAAAAGCATTATCAACAGACAAAAACTAAGAAAATAATTACTCCCAAAAGAAACTCTTAGCTTTTCTGTTAATCCTAATGTTATGCTTCAGCACCAAGTTATCAAAAAGTTATCATAACCTATTTTTTCTTTGGATTTAGGCAGTCATGTAGAAGTGAAATCACAACATGCAAGTTTGGCTGAAGCAATACTCATAATAAGCCTGAGCATTTGGTTTTGTTTGGTTTTTTTTTTCTTCCTACTAACACTGTGAAACACTCAAAATCATTAACTGTCCTGTATTAGAAGTTCCTGCATTCCAGAGTTAATATTAACACATGAATAACTCCTGCTATCTTTACAAATTACTTACCAGATCAGCATACTTCTTGCACAAAGCTGCCAGCTTTTCCTCTGGAGTAGAAAGTGTGTTCAAGGCTTTCATTAATAACAGCACTTCTTTTCCTATGAATTGGATGAAAAACAACCATATTGAGAAAAAGTACAGCAGAAAAGCAGTCTGTCTTTAGAAGTAAAATATAGAACCATGAGAAATTAGTGTGAGTTAAGCTGTTCTTTGGTTTGATAGCTGCATAATGCTAACAGATGACAAATGGGAAGTCATCACAGTAAGAATAAATTTGCCTTGCCTATGTGCCATTACACAACTTGGATAGAAAGTTACTTTAAATTTAAAACCACGAAAAATATTGTTTTCTAATTTATAATAGCACAGATAAAAAGAAAAATGTGAAAGAGTGAAGTTTAAAAGGTTAAGTTTTGCTAATAAAGGATATTCACACAAGTGTTTTTAATAAGCCTTTGGAATTTAAATATCAGCACTGGTTTGGCAGCATTGAACACCACAACTCCAGATTTAAAAGTTAATCCAACAACCGTAAAGTTAAAAAAGCTGATTAGTAATTAACACATTATTCACATTATTATTATTAAAGTTCCTGTACGAACAGCGTTACCAGCAGAAGGATTCTTACATATGCAATAAGAACTGTCTTTTCCTAAGCAGAAGTACACATTTTCTCAGAACATCCTGTTAAAGATGACAAGTTTTGGCTACAAAGTAAACTTGAGACAGACAGAAAATGCATATCTATTTTATGAAAATATTAAAACCATTTAAAAATCAAAATACTAAAGAGAACATACCCAAAGTTTTCTCTTTGTGTTTTTCACTCTCTGGATCTTGTTGGCCGTCAGGTGGGTCGGTACGGGCTTCTTCTCTCCCAGGAGTCTCCTCACGAGACTCTTGAGAGCAGCACATCGACCCCGGGTGCTTTCTGTTCTTCGTGATATACTCAGCTTCTTCCAAGGCGCCTGTATTTTCCAGGCTGTAACAGTTGGACTGCGCATACTGCAACGCTGTATCGGACAATTCATTGCACTTGTTGTTCACCAGCTCATCCAGCTGATCCTGGTTATCCATTCCCATCTCGTGAGTTCCAGCTTCTTCCATTGCACCACCACCAAACTTCAAAAAGGAAAGGAAGAAGTGGAAGTAAACAGTCAAGCAACTGTATTTAAAATGAAAACTTCCACCTTTCTTCTGCATGGACAAATAAGAGTAAAATTCCACCGTTATTCAAGCTGATCAAGTTGATACTCGCTGTTGTTAAGACAGGTATATAAATAAGTGTACAAAGAATGAGTCTAAAGAGTGATGAAGAAAACAGCACACACAACAGCCCAAAATACTAATTACTGTATTATGAAACAACTGTGATACCTTGTCATTACAAAAATGTTTCTATTCTAGAAATTAAAAAGTTCACACAGAAATCTGTTCTTAAAGCTCCAAAACTATCAACTATCAACTCAGCTGTTAAAGCACTCAATCTCAAATGAAAACTTTTCTCCTTCATAGTTCTTAAAAATGGATTCTCACAAATCATCGCTAAGTATAATAAATCTAAAACTCAGCAAGAGTTTAACTAGCTTTATGTACTGTTATTTGAAAAATAAGGTACAGAAATTGAGACAGAAGGACGTTATTATAAAACCCAAGTTTATTACACAGTTTCAGAAAACTGAAAGATATCAGTTTTAAAATAATTCAAGAAACATACTTCAAGAAAGAGAGGGAAAAATTAACCTGCTAGGAAGTCTAAAGAAATCCATAGAAATATATACTGTTTTGATAACACGGAGGGTAAGAGTTTAAACTACGTCACTCAGAACACCAAATACAATTGTCAGGTCATGACTGGATAAAGTCTGCTATAACAAGAATGATAAACAGGACGAGGGGCAGATCCATTTCTTAAATGTTAAAATTCACATCTACGAAATCATCACGAAAGTGAATACTAACTGGCTTCAGATCTGGAGCTCTATTACCTATGATTTTTAACAATACATCATTTCTGCTCAATTAAACAGAACTTTCTTGAAAGATTTCTTAAACCCCCAAATGTTTAATCATTTAACTAAGAAGTTAAACATCACCAGTTGTTTTAACACTGCAGAGATACATCCATATTTTGGAGCAGAACAGCTGATATACCACTGATATATATACACTGATATACCACTCTATTAAGGAGCTATGCCAACAGACTCCCCTCTATCACCAGAACAACATTCTCAATTTCTAGAAACAATTCTGATGAGAAGTTCAAGCGTGCCTGGTTGGGTGTTTGTTTTGTTACACTAGAGAATCCAGGACTCAGGACAATACTTGGAAGCAACTGGGTATTTTTTGCTGTCCATTTGCAATGCTACTACACAATATACATAGTTAGAAGTAGAGTTGAACTCACTTTCCTGCCAAAGTAATATGATCATTTTCATTGATTTATTTTCCATGAACTGAAAGTAAATTTCCTTTAAAAGTCTCAAGAAATTATAAAAACAGGGCTTGTTTATATTCACAGTTATGTTGTTTAAGCACAAATTAATTTCAGATTATCTTCTATTTTAATATTAAAAATGTGCTAATTCTTAAAACCAGGAGTTTGCACTGGGTTTTATATTCTGCACAGATGGACCGTTCTCTTCAAAAGGAATTAGCTGACACCAAAGGAACACAGCCAACACTAATAATATATTGTGAGATATATTTTAACTTCCAATTTGTTAAGCATGTTTGGAATAGTTATTTAAAAATCATTAAACAAATACGTATTAATATTGTAAAAAAAAAAAATACCTAACAGCTTAGTTTTCCTCTATACTGAAAGAAGCCTATTGCTTTACACCTTTATCACAAAGCAGAGTCATTCTTGGGAAGATGAAATTCATACAATACCTTTCACAAAGGACAATAAAGCTTTTTAGTTGAAAATAATCTGTATAGACATTAAGAAGCAACTTTTGACTTAAGGAAGATTCACTTTGCACTGCTCTTTACAAGTGTGGAAATTATGTAGGTGCTTTATGGAAAAATATAAACGCACTGCAGTTTTATCATTCCCCAATCACCACAGCTAATGTACTTGATAAATACCTTGCAAACATAATGCAGCAATAGAATAGGTATTACAAATAACCAACCCCAACATTGAACAGTTGGCTTTTTAGACCTGTAAAATGCCTATTTTTTTTCCTCCTTAGATTGCCTTAAGCTGTGGGGCTTCCATTGGCATGGGAAAGGCTTACCCCTCCAAGTTTAGGGTCAGCTAAACAACCAAGAGGTGCTTGTTAAAGGAGGAAAAGAGATGTGAAAACAGTAGAGCTCACTTAACCTTTCTGTAGGTACCAATAGTTGAAACCATGGTACAGAACTTCTCTAAAAAAACAGGACTCATACAGAAGTTGAAGATACTGTGTCACATTACATTGACACGATAGGAAAGATCAGAGGTACCTGAACACAACATGATACCAAAGTAGAACTGCAGTACCAACACAACAGCTGAAGCTTGCAGGTTTTCCACCACATAGAACGGGAACTTCCAATTCAGATTCTTGTGCCTACAAAGCCTGGCAAAAGGTAGGGAAATCCGCTCTAAACTCTAAACTAACAAGTTTCTGGGTTTGCACAGTATTTACAGACTTACTGAAATCCATAAACAGACTCAAAATTTTCTTTTTGAGAGCAGAGTACAAAATTGCCAGAACTCCAACAAGCAGCTGGGAAGGCCTGACTGGCTGCAGCTGTGGTTACACATTGAACAGCAGTGGTGCCCAAACAGCTCTCTTACTATCATTTCATTCCCCTTTTTCATACCCGCCTCTGTTGTCGCTAGCACAACACTGGTGCAACTTGTTCTAACGCAGTTTATAGCCAGATCAGTACCTCAGCCCAGTTCACTGCACAGCAACAGGCAATCCTGCCAACCAGAAGTGCTAGCACGATGGTTGGAAAGAAGCCAAAGCACGAGAGTCACTAAAAAAAAAAAAGTCAGCCTAATCACAGCCAGAGCACAAGGAACTAAACAAAAAATACCTTATCCTAACCACAAGTACCTAGCTAACATTGACTACTGAGTTACTGAAACACTGTTAGCAAGGCAATGTTCATGAAAAGCACTGCTTCAAATTTAGGCAACCCAGAGATTTTCACTGGTTTTCATCCGAGAAAATGCTGCCATTTCTGTGGAAAAAACAACTACTTTTAAGAGCATACACATGACCAAGAAGTTGCAAAATGCCCATCTCTACTAGCAAACCGTCATAGTAACCTAAACACCTGTCAATTTAGATCTGGCAATTAACATGCACGTTCCAAAGCACATGGAAGTCTCACGGAGTGAACACTACCACCTCATTAATTCAGCAGAGCTTTTCGTAGAAGTCAAATTAGGTGTCAGTCCAATTCTTTACTGACAATAATTTCTCAACTCTGAGTATCCTCTATCTTTCGCCAAAAAACCCACAAGGATTTTCAGAACTTTAGACGTCAGAGAATGAGTCTGACAGAGAAGGCAGAAATACCCTATCAGAATACTGAATTGAAGAAAAAGGTTTGTGTACAACTCTCTTGCACGTCTCAACGATACTTGAAAATAATAGCAATAGTGAAAAAAACTACAGAACTTGTCAACCTTCTTTTGGTTTTCCAGTGAACATGGAACAAATCCAAGCTTACTGACAAGCAAGCACGCCCCCTGCAAAACTAAAGCTTAGTGTGGCAGTAGACGGTTTTTGTAACAATATCTAATTTTCTTAGCTTAAATACAGTTAAAAATCGGTGACCACAGGCTAGAATACCGTATTCAAAGAAGTGGTTCTATCAGCAGCTAGAACCACCTGATAACATACAAAAATAACTTCAAAAACCCCTATCAAGTTGTAGTCCATAAGTTCTAGCAAAACTGACAGTAGTGGCATGACATACCAAAATTCTAATGTATTTAACCTAGATTAGAAAGTGTTTGTTTTTCATTTTAAACAGAGAAGTCTGCTATTGCCTGACAGGGGCCACAAACACTAATGGCTAGATGACTTCCTGATTATGATTAACAAAGAATTTTGCTACACTAGCTGTCACTTTAGATATTAAAAACATAACCAGGAAGTCTAAACAGCCTTCTTACACTCAATTTTATTCTTAAAACCCTTTAACTACAGATAGTTACAGATTTGATCTGTAACAAGCTTCTAGTTGGAGTTTAGCAATAATAAAAATCACATTGAGAATGGTAAGTACTAAACCATATTAGTATCACTGAAATTGCCCCTCTCTTACTGAGACAAAGATCAGAGCAACCCCAAATATTACCTCTATCTTTTCAAACGCGTGCTCATCAGACGAGTGAACTTCTGTTTAACATTCCAGCCAGAACAGAGCACTTCCAACAGCACATTGTATAATACCGCTGATTCAGTACTGACTGAATAAAAACAAAACAAAACCACCCCACCAAAGACCTTCTACTGAAATCACCGCTACCTTTTCTAGCTGCTACCATGCTCTCTCAGCTTCTAGCTGGTTTCCAACCTCCAGCTTCTAAGCAGCTTTAATCATAGGTGGCTTATAATCTGACGGACCGGAATCAAGATTGTCACATACCTAGAAAGATTTTCAGTGAGAGACAAAAAGAAAAAAAGTATGTTGCACAGATAATGTGCCACTTCCTAAGACAAAATTACTATCAAAATTAAAAACTCTATCATTAAAAAATAAGGCACTTATCACCTACCTAACTGTGAAACTAATTATTACAAGACAGTGACATTTCTGAATAAGCGTATCATCTTCAAGCTATTTAAGATAGTTACAGGCCAAACAATTTGAGGATGCCTGTAGGAAAATTACTGGTAACATCGTTCCTGCTCATCCCAAAGTTTTCATTCAGTCTTCTGTTCTGTTCTCTCAACTTGTACCTTGATCAAAAAAGGTGCACATCAGGAAAACTCTACCTTACTTCATAGCTAAAAGGTGAGAGTACAAGATAGGTATCCTATTTATGAAACTGGCTATGGTCACAAGAGCCTAAGCCAACTTCAAACAGTACTGCTTCAGTAACATGCACTGCACATGAGGACGAAAACAGACACCTAGGCAGAACTAAT